AGGACGAGATCTTTCACTTCCGAATCGAGATACTCCCGATCGCGTTCCAGGTCGTCCGGATCAACGTCGCCGTCGTCTTCTCGTTGCTCCAGTTGTTCCAGGTATACTTCGTACGTGGCATTGCCAGATTGGTTCGTTCCTCGTTTGAAAATTACTCGACGACGAGTCGCGCGACCAGAGTGATCGGACGTGGAAAAATTTACAGGTCTTCGTCTCGTTCCAACTTTGCGAGGACCGACCGATGGGCGTCGAAGGGACCGAGAAGACCGAGCGGAAGGCGTCGTACCACCTACGACGGACGCCAACGACGTTCTACCGGAAGGTATCGTAGCTACGGAGATTGGAAGAGGTAATAAGCGACGACTGCGCGCGACCGCGCTCGCGAGAGATCGTCGACTTCTTGTTTCGAAATTTCGGATCGAAGTTTCGAAGTTACGTTGCGAGTACGGTTCTCTTCTCTTACCGGAAATGAAACTTTCCTCTCGCGATTGGACGTGAGAATTGCGAATCGCGCGATCCAACGACGAAACGGCGGCACGGTCTCGCCTGACGAGAGACGCTTCGACTCGACTCGCTTCTCCGGTCGTTCCGCTCGAAAATTGAATCGACCTCGACTTTGCAACCGGTCCGTTCGATTTCTTCGCAATGGAACCGACTGTTCTCGTTTGAAAAATTACACGACGCCGCTGCGCGTCGCCCGATGATTCGAAACTTACGATTCGTCGAATTCGTTGCTCGCTGGTCTCTCGCCGTTAAATTGTTCCTTGTTCGACAGATCACCGTCTTCGACTTCGTCGTATCGACGATCCTACGACGATTGGTACGATCGAGAGAAGCGGAAACGAGTGGAGGAGCGGAGAGTAATTTACGTTGGACGGTTGGACGAAGGAATCACCAAAGCTGATTTACGCGCGAGATTCGAAACTTTCGGTCCCGTGGTGGATATTAGTATACATTTTCGCCGACACGGGTAACTCTCCTTCCTTTCGCTTCTTCTTCCCTCTTCGTCCGAGCCTGACGAATGTTATATTCTTCTTCTTCTTCTTC